ATTTAATTTAATCTATAATTTTGATCGTGTTCCATAAAGATAATAATCCCACTTAGAAATATAAGTTAAATTATTATCTCCCTGGAAGATAGTAATTCCACTTGTAAATGTAGGTGGGATTATTATCTTCCCGAAAGGATAATAATTCCACGTGTATTTCTAAGTGGGAATATTATCTTGAAGGGAACATTTAAAAATTTGCGTTTTTCGGGGTTATTATCTCGCTGAATCGTGGAATTAATATCTTTCGGGGATTTTACCCTTCATCTTGACTTTTCAAACAATTAAATTTGAACTTAAAATGACACTTTTGCAAATCGAGTGTCCAATGAAGTTTTTAGAACCAAGTCTAGTGAGTCGTTAATCAAAAAAAAAATTTCTATATGCCAGATTTTCTTCACAGTCAATTCGCAAAACTTTCTTTGTGAAAATCGATGATTCTAGGTATTAAATTGCTTGGAGTAACTATACACCTTTAAAAGACCTCCCAGTACCTGAGTAAATTTTCGTGCACATGTTTCATGATGCATGACTTGCAATAATCATAATCATTTTTTTATCATGTACTAAAAAAGATTGAAATAACATGAGAGGAAAGTCATTGTGGATGAAAAACTTATCATAAAAGTTTTTGTCTCTTTAAAACTTTCTCTGTGTGACAAGAACTTGCCCGAAAGTAATTTGTAAACATTCTCTTGAGAATTTCCCTTTTATTGTCATCTCATTGTATGTTAGTATGTTACAACAATCCATTTCCGCTCAATTCACAAATTTTTCCCTTCTATTATCTGCCTTAAAACAAGGAATCGAATTTATTTTCTTATTGGCTTGTCAACGACGCCTTTTAATAAATTTTTTAAGAGAATTCAAAAAACAAAAAAAAAAAAACACATCAAGAATTGTTGTTCCCACTTGACGATGTATATGCTGTGAAGAAAGACGAAAAATTAAATTTCTTGCTCGCAAACTATGAAGAAGCTTGTAATTGCAAATAAATTGAATTTGCATCGTTTATTACATGAATAGGAGAATTTTTAATATGAACAAAAAAAAAAATCCAATTCACTTCACATATTGTCTCATGATAAGGCACAAATTAAATTATGTGCAGCAATACAAAAATTGAGGCTTATGTGATTTTCCTGAAAATTTGTGCGGCCTGTTTCACTTAAGTGGATTATCCTCGATTTCAGATTATGCACTTCAGTGTTTTGTAAATATCTTTAACTTTATGTGGTATTTCTAATTTTGGATTATAATAGAGTGAACTAGGCCAAAAATTTCTGTATACTTTAATCTTTTGCTTTTCTCTATAAAGTATTAATACTTCAATTTTCTAGCCAAATTTTGTAGATTAACTTCGATTTTTGCTATAATTCTCAAACTAATACCGAACATACAAAGAGCATGCTCAGAAAAGTGAGCATATAAGTGAGTCTACTCAAAAATTATACTCATGCAAGCTCATTCAACTGAGCATGCTCAGGAGTTCATTACGAATGTACTCACTTTATTTTTTTACAAAAACTTTATAAGCTCACGTGAGTGCATTCAATAAGTATACTCTTGAGAATATTAAGAACATACTCATGTGAATTCACTCATATGAGTTCACTTACTGAATATACTCATGAGCATATAATGAGCAAACTCACTTCTGTGTCACACAATTTTTTTTATATTCTCATATGAGTGCACTTACTGAATGTACTCATGAGCATATAATGAGCAAACTCACTTCTGTGTCACACAATTTTTTTTATATTCTCATATGAGTGCACTTACTGAGTTTATTCAAGAGCAAATTGTGTACCTTTTTTAAAAAAAAATGTCAGCTAAATCTAAAACGTTAAAATTGGTGCTCAATAAGATCCAAACTTCAAAGAACTTAGTTCGCCTGTAAAAATATAATAATTTAAGTATGTGTTATGCCATATATAAATTATTATATATTTACAGACAATAGCTCCAAGGAAAAGTGTGAGATGACAGAAGTTAAGCAACGCAGAAGATATTTCAACAAGGATGGGTGACCAGATTTATATGTTTCATTCTAAGTATTTGAGATAAAATATTAATAATAATTTCTAACTCTTTCAAAATTATTCACAGAAATAAACGGAACAGTACTTAATTTCAGCTAACCTATAATACTCAAATTTAGCTTAATTAATTTTTTGCAACTTCACTTGAGTGCATTCATGAGTTTACTCAATGAGCTTAATACATGTCACATAGGAATGTGCTCACTGAGCATGCTCAAGAAGGTACCGTAAGCGCATCACTGAAATGTATGAAAATGAGCACATTCTCACAAAGGCTAATAGGCTCACAAATAATTTGTAGCAAAGTACTTTGACTTGATCACACATTAGATCTCTTAATAACTTTAAGCGCCTGGAGATATTTCCAAAAAACTGAAGTGAATAATCCGAAATCGAGAATAATCCACTTTAGTGAAACTGGCCGTAAGTTCTGATATTGACAATTCTTTGTATGAATATCGTCTTTACATCATGGGGGGTGGGGGGGGGGGGATCAGCGAGAAAAGAACATTAGAAATTCCTGGAAATCCATTGTTCTTTTTTGAAAAATGACCGTTAATTTCGGATGTCATAAGTGAACGACCCCTTAAAATTCAGAGGCTTAACTCAGGATTAACCAAGAAAAATCCTTAAAACTTCCGAACCAAGTTATCAATCAGTTATCATAGCTCAAGGAATTTAATTCAGGATTTTTTTAGGATTGTTTACGATTAATCCTGAGTTTTCTTGCCTTGCCTTTAACGTAATTTTTTTTATTGGAATCACAGCTCTGTGTTCAATGTTTAGTCAAATAACTAGGGACTAAGAACTTTTTAGACATAATGTTTTCAGTCGAAATAATATAAAAGACAGGATTTGAACCCTAATTTTGGACTACGATTTCGAGCCATTCACTAATTGTGTATCGCATATAAACAATTTTCTAAATCCACCCTCATTTCACGGGTTTTTATTTTCTTAAATTTGTCACAGTATTTTAGATCTTAAAGTGTAACATAATAAATGAATAAGGAACAAAAAAAAATCATAAGAAAAATCATTTTCTATCTTGTCGTTCGTTCTAGGCAGCATCGTTGAAAACATGAATCCCTTGAGACATCCATCACTAAATGTGATGACGAAAACTCAATAAATATTTCATTCAATGTGGCATATAATGAGTCACGATTATGAAGTGAAAAGAAAATTTGATGGAAAATTGGGAAAATAAGAAAATTTAAAATCACATTCAAGCATGTCAGAATAATTATTATGGGATTTTAATTCAAATTGATGAAATATGCGCGCGAGAGAGTCAAAATCTGCTGACGATGATGTTTGTATCATTTATGAATATTCATATGACATAGAGGCTGAAAGATAAGCAAAGACTAACGAAAATATCGAGGGTTGAAAATTTAATTTAAAATCAAAGAACTCAATGGCACTCAGTGCTTGAAAAATAAGCATGTGAGCGATGAGATATCATCATAAATATTCTATCGCATTAATTTCTATAAAAGAGAGACGAGACGAGTGACTATGATAATAACGTTGATGATGATGATTACATGAAAATCATGAATTATTAATTTCTCAAACATAAAATTGACTTTTAACGACTCATTTAGAAAATGATTTTTCCATATTATATTCCATTAAGTATGAATTTTGATTTTTGGTTGTTTAAAAAGCAACGCCTTTATTGGTTAATTTTATTAGAAAATCTATATGAAATTAAAAGATCATTTTCTATAGTAATATCTGCCTTAATAACAAAACGGGCCGTTCACTTATGACGTCTAGGGGGGGATGGGGGGGGGGGGGGTTCAGCAAGAAAAGACAATAATAGTTCCTAGAAATCCATTGTTCTTTTTTTGAAAAATGACCGTTAATTTCGGACGTCATAAGTGAACGATCCCAAAGTAAAATGTTCTTAATGATCTTTTAGAATTTGAAAAGTTTTGAGCACACTTTCATTCGGTAATGACTCTTATCTTGTGATATCAATCGAAAAACTTTCATTAAACCTAAGTTTTCTATATAAATACAGTTGTGTTTTGTACATCATCGTTTGAGAAGCTCGTTGCTCTAAACCTTCTCAATTTACCTTATTTCATTCGAACTGATTAGTTAAACTCAATTAAAGCAACAATGAAATAAAGATAACTTGAAAAAACTGCTTAACATTTAAAGAACATTATATCCTTTGAAATTGCTACCAGAGTCTTTTATTATGATTCCTAAGCACATTTATTTTGTTGCCATGAAATCACAAATTTTTCCCAGAACGCTATTTAACATGATATCCAAGATCCTTTAAACAATTTTAAAATAACATCGTAAATGATTAAAAAAACAAGACGTAAAGTTGTTAAAGCATTTAAAATTCCACGAAATTAAATTTTCTGAAAATTAGATTAGGGCTCGTTCACTTATTACGTAACGCAAAAAAACGAGTTTTTAGACCCCCCCTCCCCTCCCCCTGTAACAAACCGTAACAAAATCTTAGACCCCCCTCCCCCCCCCCCTAGTACGTTACGTAATAAGTGAACGAACCCTTAGGAAAATTTATCAGAAAATTGTGAAAATTTAAATTTATTCGTATTGACATAACAAAAGAGGAAGAACGTTAGAGGATGTCGCATATATAAGCATGTTTGACATAAAAAAAGATCGCACGACGAAGTAATTCACGGAGTAAGAAATAAATTAAATTTTAATGTAATTAGTAGGAATGCAAATTGCTAAGCATTGCTTTTTGTCGTTGTATGCTGCTTCCCTCAATTCCTTGTGTCATGCTGTTATTTGTTGGTTGTAATTTCGCATAGTCACAAAAACGGGTGACAAACATGAAAATTCATTAACACAAAAATAAATGTATCTTCATTTTCTCACACAGCACTGCTGCATAGATACATGATGCTGTAAAAAATTGAATAAAGATAGTAAGTATTATAATAAAAATCCATTTAAGTAATTTCAAGAATATCTCATTTCATTAAGCTTTTTTCTATTTTCTCATTCTTTTTTTGTGTACCAATAACTGACTTCATCTCTCTATAAGCATTAAGTAATGGAATTTTAATCCTTTTAAAGCAATGAAAAGAAACAGGAATAAAAAAAATGTGTTTGTGAAACTTTTTTCTCGAATTGACAGGAACGTAGTGGCTCAAATGATAGGCATATCCATCTATGTATACGACAGTAAATTAATGACATGATTTTCAATCATTTAATTTTTCCTTCGTTTCTGTGCGACTGGCAATAAAGTCTAAATTTTGAAGGAAACGAATCGTAGGTCTACCGTGTGGACAGTTCCAAGGATGATCAATTTCTCCCATGTGCATTAAAAGTTTCATCATTGCTTTATGATCTAATGGCGTTCCGATCATAACAGATTTACGGCATGCTCTACTTGCCAGCATTGCTCGTATTCTTGATGGTCTGCAAATGCAGTTTGTTGAATTGTCATGCAGCAAATGGGTCATTTCCTCGATGTCTTCTCTACCAAATTCATGTTTCTTACTAAAAGGTCGTGAAATCAACTTAATTCTATGAGTTGTTTGAGTATTGTGATTAATATTAAATTTGAAGCCATTCATTTCAAATATGTTTATATTATCAATAATTATATCTTCCTGAACAGCAGTCAATTCTAGTTTTTCTGGAATGACCATATGTTGGGTTTCTAGTTTGAATGTTTTTTCAAGTTGCTCAAAATTATATCTTTCATCTGTTGCATGCTGATCAACAATAAACAAATCACTTTCCAATATTGCTATAATAAAGCCTTGATTAAATTGGCCAATCACTTTCATTTCACTGAACATATCCTTCTTAATTACTGTTTCCAATTCAGTCTCTGCTTTCTTGTTTTTTGATGGGTCAATTCTTTCTTTAAATCTTAGATGATTACTTTTTGAAACCTTTTTTAGTGCTTTATATGCTGTCTCTTCTTCAAATGCTTCATTTCTTACCATGCCGATCGATAAGTTTATTTTTTTCTTAAATTTTCTTATTGATCTTGAAACATCTAATTCGATTCTTTCACCACACATTGTCTCATCATTAATGATATCATGATCAACCGTACTGCTGTTTGATGTCTGTGATTTCAAAAAACTCAATTCCAAAAAATCAAGTGGCTTCTCCATTGGAACTTCATCTTCAGCTCTAAGTTCTTCAAAAACTTCAATTTTATTAGGGCTTTTTGTATCGAATTTTAATGTATTTTCGCATGCTTTAGGTCTGTAGCTTATGCTGTGAGAAAAGTTTTGAGTAGAAGTCACTTGTGGTGAAAGAAACTCTTCCTCGCTGTTATCAGATTGTGATGTTTTCTTATCTTGTTCATTCAAAGCAATTTTCTTTGGTTTTTGAGCAATTTCTTCTTCTTCACATTCGATTTCAATCGAACGTTTTACCATGAATGAATCAATTTTGGGATTTTTGTCTAATTTGTCAAATTTTCGTTTAGGATTATTTGGAATAGGATTTGAAGGATTAATTTTCCATTGCTTTAGACTGGCAGCAAAATTACTATTTGGTTGAATAACTGCAATTTTGTCATCGTTATCTTCATCTGATTCATTAGAGTTAGAGTCTCCATTATATTTTCTTACAACACTATTAATGCTAGCATATTTGAATTTTGTAGGCAAATCTCCAAATGTAATTGAAAGGCTTCGTTTCATCACCAGCAAAAGAACCTTGTCATCACAAATTGCAACTTGACGTTTATCTTTACTTAAATTAACGTCTACATTTGATTGTTCAACTTTAAGATTGATAAAGAAGAAGGGATACTTTTTCATGTTATATCTTTGGTAAATTTCATTAACAAGTTTTGAAATCGCTTTCATCTCACATGGACGAGAATTTATATAAAGAAATTGACGATCCTTTAATGTTCGACCGCATTGATGATCTATGTTGCTAATATATCCCTCAATCTTAAATCTTTTCTGATTTAAACTATCAATTTCATTTGTTTTAATTTCAGATATATCAGCATCAAATAAAGATTCTTGAGTATACATTCCATCTTCTGTTCCATCGTTAGTTGGACATTTTATCTTAATCACTTCTTGTGACTGCTTTCCTCCAAAAATTGATACAATATTGTCAGACACAGATTTACCATTGGTTGATAAAATTGTTTGTCTTGATCCATTTTTTAGTACATTAACAGCTATGATTTTTACTCCTACAAGCACTAAGCAATACTCCTCCAATAATTTAATCATCTTATTGAAATCCTTTTTATAGTTCTTTTGAAATTCAGCTTTTCGAACTGGAAGTGTCTTAAAGAAATCTGAAACTATAACAGAAGTGCCAATATTTCGAGCAATGATTGATTTCTCAGTAATATCTCCATCATTATTATAAACTAATTTGGTTCCATATTCAGACGAAGAATGTCTTGTTGTTATTGTGACATCACATAATCCACATAATGATGACAGTGCTTCTCCTCGAAAGCCGAAAGTCTTAATATTTTGTAAATCAGTAAAGTCCTTTAGCTTTGATGTATGATGCTTAGCTGTTATTCCTTGAAAGTTTTCTTCCAAAATACCCAGTCCATTATCAGAAACTTCAAATCCTTCCTTTCCATGCTCTTTAATTTTAATGTCTATTACTGTTGAGCATGCATCTACGCTGTTCTCAATCAATTCCTTTACAGCAATTCCAATATTTAATATTACCTTTAAAAAAATTGAATTTTATTAAAATTGAATAGCACATATTAATATTTAAAATTAACATTACCTGTGCCGATAATATCTTGTTAACAGTGTCTTTTGATACTCTTTGTATATCTCTTGGTGCTTCCTTAGTTAATTCTGTGACTATATTATCTTCTTCCATTTTACAAGTTATTGTTATTGTTTATTTCTTTCGCGCGATTTTGAAAACTTGTTTTTCAAGAACGTAGGTAGCAATAAAATGCACTTTGTCTGCTGCTTGGTCGAATCGTGATTTACACTTTAATTAATGATGATGTATTATTCTTAAATTTAAATACTATTTAATACTATTAAAATATGAATTAAGTACGCAAATTAATTAAATTTTGAATGCTCATTGTTTTAAATGTTCAAACTCAAACAGAGTGTAAAATAATGATCTCAGTAATCTGGGAAAATAAATAAATCAGTTGAAATACACGAACAAAAACATAAAGACGTGTTTATTTGAAAAGGGCAATTCCATGAGTGAAAAAAATGCAAGTATAATTCTTTTTGATCAAAATAACAACTTTTTCCGTTCTTTTAAAAATTTATAATTAGTAATAACTCAAGATATTCATTTTAAAATAGATAACTAAACGTTTAAAGGTCTATTTACTGAAATAATTCAGTTTTTTCATCGTTAATCGGTTAAGTTTACGAAAATTTCGCTTCTTATATCCTTAAAAAAGTCTTCAAATAACCATTTTTTGTGCTCAAGTATATATTTAAGCCATAAATATTCACTTTTTTTACCCTGTTTTTTCGTTATAAGCTAGTAGCTTAGAAGAATAAAAAAGTGATTTTTTTGGCTCACTAGTAGCTTAGTAACGAGTAGTAGCTTAGTAACGAGTAGTAGCTTAGTAAAGAAATTGAACTTCAATGAAAATTTTGAATTTTTTAACTTAATTAAAGAAATTTTGCTATCTTCTCGATTTTATTTCATTGACAATGTCATAAGGCATTGAAACTGATACTTAGAAAGTTGAAAAAGATTAATTATACTTTATTTTTGGTAGTACCTTAGTAAAGATTACAAAAAAAATTCAAGTTCAAAAAAACTTTCCTAAGCTAGTAGCTTAGGAACGAGTAGTAGCTTATAACGAAAAAACAGGGTACTTATTTGCTCACTTTTTCTGTTCTTAAATGCTTTATTCACAGAGAAAATTAAAAAATACTGCGTTAATCGGTTAAGTTTTCAGCGCTTTATCCAAAACCAACAAAAAACAGAAAATTTGAATTTTGAATTTCCGTTAAATTTATTTATTGCTAAGAATAATTTCTCTTCGAAAAATAACATTTTATTGGGTTAATAATGAATTTAATTTGATTTTTTTTTTCATGTTAACATCATAATTTTGTGTAATAATCGTAATAATAATCAAAGCAATGAAAATTAGTTTGAATCTTTTGAAAATTTGTAACGGTAAAAAAATTCAAATTACTACAAGTAGAAAAATATTACAACTTGCTTTTTCTCAGTTCCCTTTACTCGTGGAATTGCCCAAAATCAAAAATAAAACATGGCGCAGTCGTATAAAAGTTTAGAGGAATTCAATTTTGAAGCTTCTTCGTCAAAAATTGAATGGGAACGATTTTCAACAGAATTCAACTCGTATCTAATTGTTAACGAACTTGATGAAAAATCCGACAAGATCAAACTTAACTTATTAACACTTTTGATGGGATATAAGTCAGTGGACATCATCAAGAATCTAGCATTAACGGATCCAGAGAAGCAGAATTATGAAACATGTTTGAGGCTCTCAAGAATCATTTTTCACCGTCATCAAACTTTCTTATTGAAAGAATGAAACTACGTGGCTGTATTCAAAATGAATGTGAATCAGTCGATCAGTTCATTAGAGGCTGATGGCTGTGAATTTAATCAATTCAAAGAAGAAGCCAATCGTGATCAAATTCTTTTCGGTCTGCACAACAACAATTTGCGAGAAAAGCTCATTTTATCTCAAGAAAAGTCATTGCATACTTTGTTCAGCAAAATCAAAATATATTATTACAATCAGCAACAATTAGCCCAAATAGCATCAGACAGTATCAATGTAAATCAACTATCAGCAGTGCACCAACGTATCCTCAACAAACAAACGTCGAATAAAAGTGAAAAAGCTCAAGATAAAAGCGTTGAGAATATAAAAGGCAAAAAGAGGAAGGAGAAGGTCTGTGCAGTTGAAGAACGCGAAAACTGTAAGTCTAATGTTATAGTCAATTGTGATCAACTTAAGGAACATGCAGAAAGCAATGTTTGGTGTAAAAAGTTACTCGTGCATGATAAAATTGGATAAAATGATCAATTTTAAGTTGGATACTGGATCGCAAGTTAATACTATTAGTTTAGATATGTTTAAAAGCCTAGGAAAGAAATTTAAGATCGAAAAGAGTAATTTAAAGTTACAAGCCTATTTTGGTAAAATTAATCACCCTATTGGGAAGACAGTTCTTCCAATTAAAATAAATAATGATGTGTATCACGAGGAATTTAAAATCATTGATATAAAAACGGTACCTTTATTAGGCTTAGAGTCCTGTGTAAATCTAAAACTCATATCTCGTATAGATTCATTGCACTTGAACCAATTGTTGTGTTGGCATGTGTAAAATTAAAATTAAAATAAAATTCAATTCCGGTGGCGAATCAGAATCGTAGAATTCCATTTAAGTTGAAGAATAAGCTTCAGAATAAATTAATTGAAATGGAAAGATTAGGAATCATTTCACGTGTCAGTGAACAGCGTGAATGGATTAATAGTATCGTAATTGTTGAAAAAGGAGATAAAATAAGAATTTGTATTCATCCAGGAATCATTTCACGTGTCAGTGAACAGCGTGAATGGATTAATAGTATCGTAATTGTTGAAAAAGGAGATAAAATAAGAATTTGTATTCATCCAAAGTATTTGAATCAAGCATTGAATAAGTTTCACTTTCCGATACCATCTCTTGATGAATTAAAACAAGATTTAAAAGATTCTCAGTATTTTACGGTTTTAGACCTCAAAGATGGTTTCTGGCATATAGAATTAGACGAAGAATCCAAAAAGTTGTGTACGTTTAGTTCTCCTTTCGGTTTGTGGCAATTCAATCGAATGCCTTTTGAGATAAATATTGCATCAGAAATCTTCCAAAAGTACATGACAAATAATTTTGGCGATTTACCTGGAGTCAAATTTTATATCGACGATATCATTGTTATTGGTAAAACGCTTAAAGAACATGACGAGAATTTAAGAAGATTAATGGTCAGGGCATTAAAGTCAGGTGTAAAGTTCAATCAGAAAAAATAACAATTCACACAAAGCTCAGTAAAATTCTTTAGCCTATCTTTTCTGAGAATAAAGTAAATGTTGATCCAGAAAGGATTTCAGCAATTAACAGTATTCCGAATCCTAAAAATCTAGAAGATGTGCAGAAGTTTTTAGGAGTAGTCAATTATATCAGGGATTTCATTCCCAATGTACCTTCTTTAACAGTAAATATACGTAATTTATTGAAAAAGGACAGTGAATTTTTATGGCTTGACAATCATCAAGGTGAATTTGAATACATTAAAGAAGTAATAAAAAATGACACGTCATGTACAACATTTGATGAAAATATGCTAATAATTTTAGAAACTGATGCTTCGTCATACGCTACATGTTTAAAACAAGGAAGTAAAATTATTAGCTTTGCTTCGCGTTATCTGTCAGATACAGAAAAGGAGTATGGTCATATTGAAAAAGAATTTTTAACCGTTTTTTTTGCATGTAAAAAGTTTCACAATTATATTTATGGCAAAAAAGTTACTGTCATATCTGACCATCGTCCTCTTGAAAGCATAATTAATAAAGATATTAGTAAGATAGGATCAAAACGCTTGCAGCGTATTTATTTAATTTATCTGCGTCATTATTGCAGATAACATGTCATTTAATTCATTTGAATGTAAAAGTTTTGCCCTTGAGTGGGACATTAACATATTGACATCAAGTCCTCGTTATGCACAGTCGAATGGTCTTGCAGAGAAAGCTGTAGGAATAGTTAAAAATATGATGAGGAAATGCGATAGTTTCAATAAAGTTCTAATAGCAATATACAATTATAATAATATTCCGTTAGTTGATATTGACTTGTCTCCTAGTGAATTGCTTAACAATAGAAGAATGAGGACTTAAATCATTATGAAAGATAGCTTGCTAAAGCCTAAGTTAAATCACAATTTAGGTGAAAAATTCAAAAAGAAGCAAAATAAAACGAAAATATATTACAATCGAAATGCGTATGTACGTGATGAGTTCGATGTTAATCAAAAGGTATTGGTACAATTGCCCAATAAAACATGATCCAAAGGATCAATCGTAAAGAAATGTTCAGAGCCTAGATCATATGAAATTCGTATGGATAGTAATAGGGTTACTAGACGAAACTCTAAATTTATCAGAACTGATAGGTCAACAGTATCCAATCAAATTGATCAAAAGAAATGCAATGAGTTTAGTCAATATAGAATCAATCTTGATAACTTACTGCGTGAACCTCCTCTGAATTCTGATGCAAATACCGCATCTTCCATAACTCACCAAACAACTTCAATCTCAACGGAAAGTAATTCGAACTTCTAAAACCTGTGCTTATTTGAAAACACAGAGCAACTATAACATTTGTAATTTCAAAGAAGACACGCCAAAAAAGTTCATAAATAAACAAACTCGATGTCAAAAACAACATGAATGGTGATGATTTTAAAATTGAGAGCAATTCATGTTTTTTGTGACACATTTTAGTGATAATTCTATAGTGTTAAGTGACAATATCAAATTGAAAGATGGAAATGCAAACAAGAATCAGATGATTCAAATGATTTTTTTTATATAAATGGAACATGCTGAAAAGTGTCATTGAATATTTTTTTTCGTCATTCCTCTCCAAATTTAATATGCACTTAAAAGTTGTTGTATGTACATAATGTTCTATGACACATTTTGATGTTAACATTCAGTGTGAAAAATAAATATCCATCCATGCTTGCAAACTCATATCTGTTATTTATAACAGGATCGAGTTGATTAAATTGTCAATGTGCATTTATATGTGATGATGCTTTATGCTGTTGATGAAATGCAGCATATTTTTAAAGGGATATTTTTGTCATAAATAAGTCGCTTTAGTGTGCTTTATTACAGGATATCAAGTATTGTGTTCCTGAAATTTTTCAGTCCGTTTTCACTTCCCAGTCTTGTGATTCATATTATTCAGCTAAAAGTCATTAGCACACATACTTTGAATTATATTAAGTAGCAATAGCTTCGTGAAAGGTCAGTAGAATTGAAAGCAAGCAGACAGAATTCAATCTAGAGATAGACTTTCTGTTTGAATATGAATTAAATTGATTTATAGAATGACTCATGAAATATAGATTATTATGAATTAGATTAACTTGTCCACTATGGGGCAAAATTGAAAAAAAGCGGCAATTAAGGAAATTTTTGAACAGTTTCGAACTACGCTTTCAGGGTTATTTTTTCTTGTAGAGGACATCAAAATTGACTTCTATGCCAAATTTCAGGTCATTTGATGCTGTTTTTACAATTCTGTGGCTGTTTGAAGTTGAAAATAAGTGAAAATTTTGATTTTTTCACGTCTTATTTAAACTGTCACATCTTTTTAATAGTTAAAGACATTAAGAAACGCTTTTCGGTTTCTAATAGTGTCATGTAAGAGCTTTGTTTTGATAATGTACAAAATTTGTAATTTTGAAGTTTTGGTACCAATATGGGAAGAAATGTGTGAAAATTCTATGAAAAATATATTCAAACATGCCGCAAAGATCTTAAATGGCCACTTTTCAGTCATATAAGCACACTGTGTTTTAGCCTCTGTCTTCTGGTTTTCAAAAATGTATATACATCAAAATTTGTTTGGTACACTTTTGAGATAAATTGGTTTAAATAAGTAGTAGAATAATTAAACAAAAAATAAAATATCTTATAAAAGTTACGAAACAACAACAAAAAATGAGTTTTGTGTTATTTTTCGATGACAAGCAATATTTAAAGACAAATTCCGAAGAAATTTTTTCAAAAAGTTCAAAATCTGCCGATATATAGGGTACTTTTCATATCTGACGACTTGTATGGTTTTTGCATCATTCAAACTGCTCTTATTTTTGTGTACCTCAATATTTTTTGATTCTGTTTACAGTTTATTGTAGCTTAAGTCTAGACCTTTCTAAGGATATATAATACTTTGTAGTTTAGTATTATCTTGGTCATGAATTTGGGACTTGTTTGTGAACGACCTTAAACTACAAAAAATCTTAAAAACGTCATTTCTAGAAATATCACTTAGAAACAAAATTAGGTATTGTTTTTAGGTTTTTCATGATGACATATGATATTTATGACTATAAAAATTTAAAAATGTGTCTTTCATAAACTTTTTGCGATCTCAGGTAGCCTGTTTAAGTTCGACCCTAGTAGTATCTATTTGATCAGTATTACTTCAGTATTAGACTAATTTGAAGATTTTTAATGATTTATATTTTATATTTTAACATAATTGAGCCAACGTTTTAAGTACTTTTGTTTGCTAAAATGTAATTTTTGAATGTTTTAATAAAGACCAGTTTTCGTCGGTCTCATTCAATGCACTCAAGGAGTAACTATAACAAAGTTTCATGCAAGGACTATGCATCATTTTAAAGGTATTGATTTAATCTAGCAATAATCGAAAACAGATTGTAAAAGTATTAATTCTGAAAAAAGTTCTAGTCATTTTAGTGAATCAGAAAACATACTGAACCGCAACCAGAATAGGTAAAAACACAAAAATCGCAAAAAAATTTATGAAAGACACTTTTTTAAGTTTTAATAGTCATAAATATGATATGTTATCATGAAAAACCTAAAAACAATACCTTATTTTGTTTCTAAGTGATATTTCTAGAAATGACGTTTTTGAGATTTTTTGTAGTTTAGGGTCGTTCACAAACAAGTCCCAAATTCATGACCAAGATAATACTAAACTACAAAGTATTATATATCCTTAGAAAGGTCTAGACTTAAGCTACAATAAACTGTAAACAGAATCAAAAAATATTGAGGTACACAAAAATAAGAGCAGTTTGAATGATGCAAAAACCATACAAGTCGTCAGATATGAAAAGTACCCTATATATCGGCAGATTTTGAACTTTTTGAAAAAATTTCTTCGGTATTTGTCTTTAAATATTGCTTGTCATCGAAAAATAACACAAAACTCATTTTTTGTTGTTGTTTCGTAACTTTTATAAGATATTTTATTTTTTGTTTAATTATTCTACTACTTATTTAAACCAATTTATCTCAAAAGTGTACCAAACAAATTTTGATGTAAATACATTTTTGAAAACCAGAAGACGGAGGCTAAAACACAGTGTGCTTATATGACTGAAAAGTGGCCATTTAAGATCTTTGCGGCATGTTTGAATATATTTTTCATAGAATTTTCACACATTTCTTCCCATATTGGTACCAAAACTTCAAAATTACAAATTTTGTACATTATCAAAACAAAGCTCTTACATGACACTATTAGAAACCGAAAAGCGTTTCTTAATATCTTTAACTATCAAAAAGATGTGACAGTTTAAATAAGACGTGAAAAAATCAAAATTTTCACTCATTTTCAACTTCAAACAGCCACAGAATTGTAAAAACAGCATCAAATGACCTGAAATTTGGCATAGAAGTCAATTTTGATGTCCTCTACAAGAAAAAATAACCCTGAAAGCGTAGTTCGAAAGTGTTTAAAAATTTCCTTAATTGCCGTTTTTTTTCAATTTTGCCCCATAGTGTTGTCCATGGTTATAACTGGTTATAACTTAATAACCATAAGAAATATGAATTAAATTTTCTACGATTTCAAAGCCCTACAATTTCAAGTTTCAAAAACTTCCTAGAAATGACAAACATTTGCATGGTTTTTAAACACATAGAAGAAAATAAGAAATTATTGATTTATGTTTTCTTAAAACATATTTAATTTTTTTTATTGCAGTACTTTTATCTCAATGATGATCAATAATTTTTTTATAACTAATTAATTTACAATTCTGCTTACTTTTGTTTTTGTATTTCTAGTAATTAGACTAGGGGATGTAAATAAATTTCATTCTTTTCTTTTTAAAAAATAATCGTGAATTTGTCCATGTGCAACGTTTAGACTGCTTACTGTCGGATATTACAATAATTAAATAACAATTTGATCATAATATCGCTCATTCACACTAGTAATCTCCGTCGAGTCCATGCATACAAGATTAATGCTCAACCATTATTGTAAGCATTGCCATCACAGAAATTCCAAGCACAAGAGCTCCCAATTGTTTAAGTGATTCCAATTTATCCTCTTCTTGTAATAAGTCAGGTAGCACAGTTACTAATGCTATATGTAGAAATCCACCGGCTGTGAATGGCATAATCCATGATGTACGTGCTTCCATTGCTGATGTTACTCCTGATCCACCAATAGCAACTAAAGCGCCTAGCAATCCAGCACCAGCTGTCAATAATTGAGCTTTAGCTGCATCCCATCGAGTGAAACCAGACCGAAGTAATATAGCAAAGTCACCAACTTCATGTGGAATTTCGTGGAGTAAAATTGCAAATGTGGCAAGAACACCATGTCTAAATGATACTAAGAATGATCCAGCAACAGCAAGTCCATGGGTAAAATTATCAATTGAATTTGCTAATAGATTCAAATATCCTGCAACTTTCTTCTGCTGAGCATGATTGTCCTTCTTATCTTTTCCAGCTAAAAAGCAGCCATTTGGAATATCTTCAATATCACATGAACCATTCGATGCACAGCTAACAGCCTCTTGCCCATCAGGTAATTTACCGCCATTACGACGCAAAAGACAATTTGCTATTTCTACACATTTTGGTTGTGGATTATTCTCGTCTGCATTTGCATATCCACTAAATATTTTCTCAACTATAGTAAATATTAAAACACCACTCAGTACATACAATCCGCTTCTTATCGATGGATGCTCTTCTCCTACAAACAGTCATAAATGATAAGACAAAAATTATCGTTTTATATCCTTACTTTGTCACTGACTTACCATTACTCATCCGCTCTTTCATGTCATACTCCCATGCTTCTGGTAATAAATGTAAGAACACGTCGCCTAGTAAACCTCCAACAGCAAACGACAGTAGTGTTTTAAGGAACTTTGAATCTGCGACTGTAAGTCATAAAAAAAAAGAAATAAATTAGTTGCAACAAGTTAAGCTTGCAAATAACGAGTTAAGTCTGAATAAATCACTTAATTAAACAATGAGTCATGTATTATCAGTTAAAACATTATTTGAATTTTTAATTGTTATTTTCTAGCGACAAAATTCAAAATAAAAATAATCGTTAAGTTTTTAAAAATTAAATCATATCCGCACTCATTGGGTATTTTCCAGCTTAAATCTTGCATAGAAATTACGATTAGGAGACTATATAATCCACTTCACATGCGAAGAAAATGTGTATCCAAAAATCTCACGTACATGCGATAAGGATGGTTAATTGATTGGCACGTCTAATAAGTTTTATAGCCAAGACGACAGATAGGATTTAAAGTGTTACAAAGTCATGTACACGGATTGATTTATGATTTTGCCTCCCATAAAGGCATTATAAATATTATAAATAAACTTTGGATTATCACGCGAGAAATTATGTCGATATAAAAAGAATTCAGCTAGACGAAATCAATGAACGATAAGAATCTTACTTTTTATAAGTCTAGTGGTGATAATAATTAGGGCACTTGAAATTACATCATAGGACGTGCATTAATGAAAAATGTAATTTAACGTTACTCACGATTTTTTACTTCATTCTCCTTTCCCGGCTCAATATTTGGTATTATAATCAATGGTAAAATGCCACTAAGTCCAATTAGTGCTGATCCTAATAGTGAAAATACCCACGGTACGTAATGGATCGTCCTTATATAATCCGGTACATAAAGATCAAATAATGTCGTTATTGTATCCATTGATGAGTTCATTTAAGCTCCTTATCTCGGCCGCAAAACTTCCCCCGATTCAAAACAAATGTCGATGAATTTTATAATAAATAGTTTGAATGATTTTGCAAAATAGAAGATCAGTCAACATTCATTTCTCCTGCCAATGCGAAATTTTGGATTTTTTTTCCAAATAAAGTAAGACGATTAGAACTGAAAAGGAAAGAATTTTTGAATATTATTAATTGACTTAACAAAGAAAAATATTGTCTAAGAAATAAGTAAATACAAAATATGTACACACAACCGGATAACTCAATTGCTCGACACAAAATGACATGAGAAATTATTTTTACAAATGTATATTGAGAGCTGCTTTATCAGCAGTAAGTAAATTGTTACACTTTGATATGCGCTGATTTCTCTCTTTCTTCTCAGATTTTTTTTCCTTCTCGAAACAAGAAGAAAACTTGTTTGTTGATTTAAGTGAAACAGCTGATTTGGTAGTATATATGCTCTTGTGGACATATTTACTATTCGACATTTACTATCTTGACTGTGACAAAAAGAAATTTCTGATAGCTGTTATCAATTTGTATTATAAAATGGGAAGGTTATTAGCACTCAATTTGTAAAGTCGTTTATCGTGTTCCTGATGCAATTTTACTGTCTGTTAACAGTTTAAACTGATTTATACTTGGAAAACCATACAAATTATTTTATGAGCACCATACAAATTCTTCTTTTCTTCTTCTTAATTAACTTTATTATGGTCCATCACCCTATTGTTATTTAAAGACTGTTCACAATTCCAGGTAGTTTAATTTACAAATATACACAAAGAACAATCAATAAAATCCAGTCAACTCCAAATGGTTGACAGAAAACATGCCCGCGATAAGTCAAAACAACAAAAAACCATCGCTAGGCAAAAAATTCCATCTTCAGTTGTCGATGATCCAGATCCCTTGACAGTCCTTAATTTAACTTGTGATATTCCAAATAGATTCAAATTTTTGTTATGTCTCGATTGTGATCTGTCAATGTAATTAATATGTTCTGCTGTATTCCGAGATGATCGATTCCTGTTTGTAAATGTTGATTTGTTGAAATCCAGTCAGCACCAATTGATTGATAGAACTTGCCCGCGATATATGGGGAAACACACAAAACCCATCGCGAGACAACGATAATCCGTTGTATTCCAATAATATTCAATATGTCTAGGTTATGGTTATGATAGAACCTTCTTGTCCACGATTGTTGGTAAAACACAAAAAACCCACGTGAAACAGTTGATTCTCCTCACAACTGCCGCCGATCGTGATTTGTCAATGTAATTAAATGTTCTTTGATATTCCGATGATGATCAATTCCGTTTTATCTAGATTATGTGCAAAATTTGCACATTTTTTTCCAATTTCAATTTATATCCAAAATTTAATTAAATCGCGACATTGCTGAGTTTTCTCCTTGTTATCTTTGTTCTTTGTTACTTTGAAGACAGTTCCCATAGGTTTGTGACTTATTCCTGCGCGTAATTAATTAATTTTGAAGTATTGCACAATTCCACAACCTCCTCATTCGGAGGTTGGGAGAAAACCCACCATACAAATTCTTTTTTTTTAAATGAGACTACAATATTCATGTCAATAAAACATTTGTATAGTTCTGACATTCCTAAACAAATTTAAACGGTTTTCAAGCACCTATCTCCACATTTTTGTCTTAATCGAATCTTGACTTTAAGCCCATGCTGCATTAAAATAAAAGCTTTAATGAATGACTTTCTATTGCAAAAAGGGTCAGAATTATCCAGTAATCATAACAAATTAAAGTTCACACGACACGACAATTAAGCACTTGATAATGTATTAAAAAGCAATCTGCTTACTCAGTAAATAACAGAAATGTTCTGAACTATGAAGAAAGCAATTAATCGAAGTTTTAGATGCAAATGTTCTATCAATGTGAGTCATGTGGATTTTGTAATTATCGCTTTTAATGTATTTTAATTAACCGCAATTAAGACGCTATAATAACCCTGTCAAACGATATGTTTACCAGTTGTCATGTTAGCATCCATTTCGAATCAGTCTTTATTGACTGAATGCTCTCATTATCAGTTGTGGTCAATAAAATTACGCAGTCATAATTAAAAATTGATAACTGAGCCAAGTTATAAAAGATAGATGCGCATGCATAAAACCGGCTTTAAAAGATGTAACGCGAATATTATACGGTGACGATTTGAATTAATCGACCTGGACCACACTCAATATTTTTTCTTTTCTTCTTACCATCTACAAATAGTTGTATGTACGAAATTTGGGAGATGACAATCTTTATATTGGAATCTATGTGATAAAAGTTCTGTCAGTTCTTATGAAATTGACTGTTTTTGGATGATGAAATAATAAATTATTGAAACATGACTCAGCTATAAATATTTTCAGTTCCACAACGCAAAATATTTGCACAAAACTTAGTAAACAGATCGTACATTCTGTTCTTTATGACTTTTTATCAGAATCAATTTTAATTGAGAAAAACAAAGAATCGCAAATGAAATGAATTGATCACATTTAACGATAAATGACTTTCTATGAAGCTTCACTTCCTGATCGCGTGTTCTTGTAACTTTATAAATTATTAACTTTAATTCATTTCACTCCAATATGTCATTAAAATTATTTATCCTTGAAATTGTAATTTTCCGTCCTTGAATTTACATTAATTTTATGTCACTTTTCACATGCTGTGTGCCTCAACTGTTATTAAAATGAATTAACTTAACTTACACTTTTCCGACTAATTTTGAAGACTTTAATTAAAGAATGAATTTTGCAATGAAATCTGCGATTCAAAACAATAACAAACAACACAATGAACGATTATCTAGAGTCAGTGATGCTTCTCGAAGAATTCATCAATCCAAAGGTTTTAAGCTGAATACTGGTTTTATATTAAATAGGGAATTCATTTTACAGCATAAGCAGTCATAATCAATTAGATACACACATTCAAAAATGAAAATCCTGGTGAATCCAAAAAAGTTTCAGGAGAAAACGAATGTAGCTCAAATTCAAATTTGATTCTTAACGTTATTTTTTTAAGAAAAAATTCTCAAACCCAATTTAAAATTTTTAACTCAAATTTATAATCTTTTTTCATTCTTTTATTTTTACTGATCGATAGATTTTTCTTCTTTACATTTAATTCTTTTTTTTTTGCTTTTTTCTTTTGTTTGAAATTTCCTATTTTCTATCAATAGATGTGTATTTTTATTTTTTAAAGGGATTGTGAGCCAACAGATAGATATATTATTAAGAAAAGAGCTTTTCGTGGCTCATTCTGAAGAGTTTCCACTATCAATTAATACTTATTATTCATTACTTACATTTAATTTATTTAAAAATTTTCTTATCAATTTATCCCGATCCGGGTGCATTTTTGCAAGCGAGCTATTTCAAGTGCTTTGGCTGTCTGGTTTATTTATTTCTGCAGTGTGAATATACAAGGGTGTGCTAACAGACATGTCTATTATTTTTTAATTAATTAAGCTCAATTACCACTCCTTGCTACAACTGTTTGATGTGACCTTTGCCAAATTAAAATGTAAACACGAATGACCTTGAAACCACAATAAAACAGACTTTGCACTGTGAATGTCAATGCCTTTTCTCTGACACAAATATACATAAAGATCTTAAATCACTAAAAAAGAATTTTTGTACGTTTAAAAACCTGATTGACAAAGGTCTATGCATGCGTCTAGGGACTATTCAGTTCATTATGTCCAAAAATTATGCTCATTTTTTGAAAATTTAAGTTATTTTCTAGCACTTACATACACATTAATTCACACTTTCAGTTGACTTGAATCCTTTAATTAGTCGCATGCAAAAATGCCATTTGGCTGAGCCATTCAGCCACAATGTCCATTTGATTTCTTCATTGAATCATTTTACATTTTGAATTGTTCAATAAAAAGTTAATTAAAAAAGAAATTCTCACAAGATTCGATTCACAGAGGAATGAGAGAGAACAAACAGTATCTAAGTAAGGAAGTTCGTCGTATATCCAGGGAGATGTAAGTTATCCAATTCATTACTTAGTTTTCTCTGCTTTTCAATCAGTCGTAGTATTTCATCTCGTTCGCTCTTTGATAGTGAACGACCTTTTTGTTTTGCAAGTTGAACACGCTTAGTCTGTTCTACGATTTCGTGATCGACATCGTCAAGTTTCCTTTTAATTTCCAGTCGCTTCAATTCATTATGTGCGACTTCTTTAAGTGTCGTCAATTGGCTAGTATTTGATTCAGCAATTGCAATTAAATCGGATCGTACTTTTTGTACTTCTGTAAGTACTTCGTCTATATCCTCCTGACCTTCGCCACTCGATGTGACATCTTTTGCCTCTAAAATTCCCTGTTCAATCAGTTCTTTTCGTATCCTTCGCTCAGCCGCAATGCCATTTTTGAGTAAATTTGTCGCACTTCGCGTATGAACCATATTGGTATTATTTGGTATATTTTCAAGACTACTATTGGAATTTTCAGTACTTGTTGTTGTTGTTGTGGTGGATGTTGCTGTCGGATGATGATGTCCGTCATTTATGAGATTCTCTTCCATGAGTGCACTTACAAGTCTTTGAGTGAATGGACCTGTTATTCCCTCACCCATTTTCTTACTATTTCTTAATACGCGCATCACATCACCATTTTGTTGACCATTTGGCTTTTTACCTTTCACAATTTGTTGTTGATTATTTGTATCTTGCTCCTCCTTTACATCCTCAATACCCCACGTTGTTGCATAATGTGGACCTAGCTCTGGAATTTGTGGTGCTAATGTTCCAGCATATTCATCTAATAGTACATCTAGTAATCGAATGTCGTCTTGTGAAATTGGCACGGTAAATGGTTCGATTGATAGCCAGAATTTATTTGGAGTGTCATTACGATGGTATATGTGTTTTGGATTGTGACTTGATACATCTGAACTGTCGTCTGTATGTTGACTTGGTGCGGGTGATGCTGATGAGTTTTTAAGTTTAGATATTTTTGTAGGCGGGTGATTGAGTGGTGAATTGGCTGAAAACTTTCGTGGTTTACCACTATTATTTACTGTTGTTGGAATTAAGCTTGCACCACCTCGTCGTGAAATTGGTGCACGATCTAAATTCTTTGATCTTCGACTATCATTTGATTCCAATTCTGATTTTAATACTCGATATCTTAATGCAACGGTCGATAAAAGGGTTTCAAGTTCTGCCTGTATGTGCTCTAAATCATCGGGTGGCAATTCGCCGGTTGATGCTCGCGATAATGCAGCATGATACTTTGGCAATTGTTCTGCATTCTCTTGGCAACGTATATGTGGAATGATTGGTGATGATGGCTCAACGGATTCTGGTGATGATTTTGATGTCATTACTTTTCCTTTTCCTTTGGTAAATCTCTTACCACTGCCCTTTTCAGCCATCGTGCTTATTAAACAGTCGTCTCTTATGATCAATTATCAATATCAATGACTTTTTATCTTATGAACACAATTAAGGAGCGAAATTAAAAATTGGAATTTTTATTCTCGACATCCAGACGATATGAAATAATTATTTTTTCGTTTCAACTTTCCACTCAATGTGCCATTTTTTCTTTTTTCACTTTTTTTTTCAGACGAGAAACGACGACGGGCGGAAAAGAAGAAAAATATAAAAGTATGGTGTGTATATACAGCTAAAAGAGAAAAAAGAAAAACAAAAAAATATATTTTTTACGAGTTTTAAGCTACGGATATTAAACTTCGCCACCATACATCCATATAAATTGTAATTGTATAAATGTATTATATTGCATGAACATAATAAACATGAATTATGTTGCAATCATAATAATATTTCTCTTTATGGACTAATGCTTCATTGATTCAAAAAGCCGTTGACATTAGTAGTGCACGAATCTGACCAACCAATCAGAAAGCAGGTGTCGAAGTATAAACATTTCATACTCACATAAAATCAATGAATTATGTTGTAATTACAGTTTTTCTATCACTATCAAAACGTCTCGTCAATGCAAGCTAATGTTAATTTAGTTTATATGCTGAATTTAGACCTCAAAGTATCCTCCGTATGGCTTAATATTTATTTAAATGTTGTTGAATTAAAGTTTCTTGAGAAATTTTTCTGAACGTACTTAAACAGTGGTGCTCAAACTTTGTTAATTTTTGGGACAAGCCTAATCAAAAACACTTTCTGTGGATCATAGTTTGAACACTCCTGATCTTATCCGTAGTCAATAATGCTAATGACTCATAACTGTAAACTATTTAAATGTTAATCCTCATAATTTACATGCCTAGTCAGCAAAAATTAAATTAATTAATGTCGATAAAATACGTTTTATTCAAAATATAATTAAATTCACAAAAATTGATTACTTTGATTTTTCAGTGGAACTGAGTGCTTCAAATTACTATCCGTTAAGAAAATAAGCACTGATAAATACGTTATCTAATTTAATTAACACGATTTTGCCAACATATATCACACACACGGACTGGTTTTCCAAGAGCACCTAAATATGAATAAACAATTTATAATTGTTTTTAAGCCATAATATTTGATTGATATTTACCGCATGCATCCTCTAAAGGCAACAAATGATCAGAACAATTCTTGCAGACAACTTCTCCGCAGCTCCTATTGACAAAACATATTTAATATGTGTTGAATTGTTATTAAAAACGTGTATGCATACCTGCAATGATGTTTTCTCTTAGTGATTGAAAAGGCAGTTTTACAGCAATTACAGTTTGAGACTTCTTGGTCAGGTGTCCAATCCGTTGCCATGACTCTACCATTTCCTAATTCCTCAGCTATTTTCGAACGTTCTTTAAGCTCAGAAACTTGCAATTTTGTCATGCTCAATTGTACACCTAGTTCCTCCAACGTTTGTTGGTCTTCGTTATACTTTCTACGCAATCTATCCAGTTCTCCTTTGGTTTTATCATACTTTCTTGCTTCTTCAGCATGTTCGTTAATTTTCGACTGTAACTTTGCTATTGCTTCTTTATATTCGACTTCCTTTGATTGCAATGCACTTCGCCATTCACGTTCTATTCTCAAATCTGCCTCACAACGTGAACGAGCTTCTTCACTTGAAACAATTTGAGACGTCAATGTCTTGGTAGTATCTTCCAATGACTTAAATGATGATAAATCTGATGAATGCCTGAAAATTTGAAGTTGATTAAAAGATTTTTCTATTCAAACTTGTTTTTCTTCTTAATTTTATTTTCATTCTAGACTCTCATAAGCATAGAAAATCTGCCAATTAATGCTTGGGATTATGGAAAAGAGGCGAGTGAATTGGGATTTCATTAATGTCTTATTTTTGGCGTAGCTATAAAAATTAATTCTTGTTCTTTTTCTTACTTTTTTTCTAATTGCAATATTGCACTCGACATAGATTCACGCTGACTTTCGAGCTTTGTGAGCAGATCTGTTTTGTGTTTCAGTGATGATTCACACTCCTAAAAGTTTATTTGATACATACAGTGTATAATGGTTATTACATTATGTTCTTTAACTTTCTTGATATAGGCATTTTTATATTATAATAATTAGTAGGTTGATAGTATTAATAATATGCGATAGATTATGTAAATCGAGCTATCCATAGCTGTTCAAATGAATGAAAAATTTTTGGAGCTGAATCCTATCCAAAAATCGTTTTATTAATTTTAGCTTAAATTCATCAATTAAATGATTGCAAGCTTCTACACTATTTTTAAGCAGAACTTTTATTGCCTTACTAGATCTTTGGATAGTCAAATATAAATTTTTTAATTTCAAGCAGTTTCTTTGCATTATTATTAATTCTCGTTACACGCTTGGTTTTTAACATTTAAGCATTTTCTCAGTCCCAATTTTCATTCACATAAACACTTATGCATACATCAGTTAATCAAGCGAAAACATAAACTTTAGACTTTAATGATGAGTAAATAGAAGACAATAAGCAATAATTTTTATTCTTCATTCTTAACAGACTCTTCTGTTAAAACTTCAAACGTCACGGGAGTTGATGGTTCTTGTTGTTCTTGCTGCAAATCAGCAGATTCACTTGACGGTGATTTTCTAATTTTATTAGCATTAAATGGTGGAATTTGTTGAATTCTCACGTGAGCGCGTTTTGGAGGTTGATGATAGCTAAATAGCTGATTTGATGGGGATTTCTTAATGTCTGATTCGTCGCCATGTGTGCTGGTGTACTTCTTCTCTAAACTTGTTAATATTCTCCCAATACTTGATGCTTTTGCCTGTAAACGTTCTACCATCTCTCCTTTTTGATTCAATTCATCTTCACATTCCTGATTTTAAGTTTATGTTAGTGGATGTTAATTATTTTATTTGGGACCATTTTTGAAAACCTTACAAAAGTTTACCATTAAAAACATTTGTAAAGTTTTCAGTTTTAAAATTTCCGTTAAATAACCATAAACATAATTTAACTTAAAAACTAGTAAAATAGAAACTATGAAGTTTGTTCATTAGCACTATACCTGTAACTTCCTATACATTTCCAAATTAATCTGTTTTATATCCTCAAGCTGACGTCTTAACGATATTATTGTATCTTGTTTTTCATGGATGTCCTTTTCCAACAATTTCATAGCCATCTCAGTCTCTGCTTTCAGGCAAACTTGCAACTCCAATTCCCTCTCTACTTCTTGTCGCTTCTTCTTCTCATCAGCTAATGCTTCAGCCATTTCAGGATCAATTCGATCCAAAACATTTGCTCTATCGACAATTTGCTGATTTGCATTTTGATTTTGTCTTAGTGCTGCATTTTCAGCTTGTAGTGTCAATAAGCTATTACGAGCGATTGCTAAGTCTTCTTTCATAAGTGCATTTGTTGTTGTTAGCTGCTCTGCTTTTTGTTGAAGATTTGCGACAGTCGCACTAGAAATTAAATTTTTAAACACTTAAAAAACCTCATGATATATAATGAGATAAATGAAATTACTTTAAATGACGATTTAGTTCTTCAATGTAATTTTTCTGATCTAAAACAGCTGTCATATTGCCACCACCTTCAATAGCTGGCTGATCATCTTCAGGACTAGATCGTGAGCTTGATCTCAAATATAATGAAAAGTCAATAACGCCTTGCTGTGAATCTAAATCCTCTCCTTTAACACACAAATTGCAGTCAATTACATTCAGTCCGACTAATATCCCCATAATAACAACGATCTCATCGCTCAACATTAAAGCATGGGGTTCATAATATTCAACAAGAATTTCATTTTTGTGCTCGATTAAGGCTTGCAAGTAATCAGCAAGCTTCTTTTGCATTAATGCCAATCGTAGCCATGCTCTCGATCGTCCAGTATGCGTACGAACTGTTGGTAAATCACGAATACTCATTGTCACATCTTGTGCCTCAAGACAATACTTTTCAGCACTTTGCAATAAATCCCATAATTCTTTTTTCGGACCCAGTAATCCCTTCTTCGGTTTTAAGCCATGTCTTAGAATATGTTCCAAAATTATAAAGAAATGTTGTAGTGGAAGATGATCAGAATCTAATTGACGTCCATAGCGCAGTGATTGTTCAAGAAGTTCCTTAACGACAAGCTTGCAAATATTCACTAAATTTGATCTCTCAATTGATGCTGGATCGCGAGCTAAATGTGAAAGAAAAATGTCCAATTTTAAGAACTATATATGTATGTTTCAATATTTTCAATTTTCAATCATAGTAATCAATCTTAATCTTAATAGTAATCTTATTCTTATTTTCTTAAAAAAAAAAATGAATTGAAAATGTTACGTTGCACCGCTAGTTTAAAATTACTGATAATCACGTTAATCTTAATGCATCAGTGTGAATGTTTAACGCAAGTTCAGCCTTTAGGATCAATATTATTTGAGGATCATGGATTTCCCAAGAAATGCTTTATACAAAATGATATAGCACAACTTGCAACAAGATTAAAATTCCAAGAGTTACTTCCAAAAAATATCGAACTAATGAATGATTACAATTTAGTGGCGATGATTAAGTATTTTTATGGAATTAATGAGATCCTAGAGCATATGGGTGAAGGGGAAGCAAGACAATTAGTTCTCAAGTGTTTTTACGACATGCTTGGAAGGTGATTACTCTTTTAAATATTCCTAATGTGAATAAATCTTATGTAGTGACTATTATCAAATTCCAGTTACTTAAAGCACATCGTCCTTCCAATCACAAAATATTCATTCTATGCCGGTAATGTGACATATTCAGTCGCTCAAAATGTATTTGATCTTTTCGATCGTTGTAAGGAACTACTTGACACAAATGGAAATAGCTGGTCGGAAGCAATAACAGATTTCTCTCAATTTAATGTCAAGATCATTCCACTTATGATTCCAAAAACATCTGATGATGAGGCTATGAAAGCATGTTCCAATCTTGTCACAAACCAAAATGACGATGATAATGAAGAGGATATGCTAGTTCCATTGCCGAAAATTGAAACTGAAGATAATGATGATTTATCGACAATTCGATTGCCATTAAAGCGCAAACATACGTTTAACATAAATTCTAAAAAGTCTGCTTTCATTTTACTACGTTATTTTGTGTCAGTGACTCAGTGCTTCAAATATCAAGGAATCAATCAATCACTGTTTAATAAGAAATTGAATTTATGGATAACTGACAATGTTTTGCCGTATCTTGATGATGATCAGCTTTATCCAGCATTTGGTGCCATTTTGAGAATTTTGGAGACAATTAAAAGTTCTGATGAAACTATTTATCAAGGAACTAGTCAAAAGAACTCAAAAAGGCATAAACAACAGCTTGTGGAATCGAAAAACTTTTTTGACTACACTAAAAACATAAATTCCGATGAATTTTCGTTTGACGACAGAAATCGTGATTTTAATTGGTGGCAGAATGCTGTTTTAGCATCGATTGGAATAGTTATCTTAGCTTTATTGCTAATTTACATGATCATAAGGATTTGTTGCAATCGAAAGAAGATTCGAGAAGTCGAGTACAAAAAAAACTCGAATAAGAAAACTTTGAAGGATAAGATAAGAAATGTCCTTAAAAATAGCACGCATATGCCTGAACATGACGAGTTTTATGAATACAAGAAGGTTCGCAACAAAAAAGGAATCAAATTTGAGAATGAAAAGAAGTCATCGCCACTGAGAAAATTTAGAAAAGATAAAGAAAAAGTCAATTTGCCATTACTGAATATGGCTGAATCTGAGGATGAAATTGTGCTTCTCGAGTCAAAAAAATCCACTCCTCATTCATCACTTAGTTCATTGAGTAAGAAGACTGCTTTTAAATTGTCAGAGGAATCAGACAACAACAGTAAGCAAGACATGAAAAATTCACATAGATTCCTACAAAAGATTCGTCCCAAATCGCCAGCTCGAAAGAATCATTACGGATAGGACGAGATATGTTAGATTGTGTAGGGTTTTTCAGCGTTTTAAGCAAAGCACCAAGCTCTTTTAACAGATTATAAATTGTGTATGGGAGTATTTTATGTATTTACAAGAATGTTGGAGATGAATAAAGGAATAAATGTTGTTGTTAAGTGAGAATAGATTGGCCGTGAGTGTGTGTTTTGTACGCTTTGTTGTTGACTCATACGATCGATAATTGGATTTTTTTTTCCTTCACTATACTTATGCTAATTATGCTGATCACTCAATTGTGAATTGAAAAGTTTGAAAGTTAATTGCTCTGCATTTCAGTTCAAACTAAGTCTAATTATGATACTAGAAGGTACTAAAATAGACTTTTCTTTTACTGTCTGATTTCATTTAAAGTAGCCAGACATTTATTACATGACTTTAAAGCCAAATCCTGACAATAGTGAATACAGTCGTATTGTTCCAATATCAACAACAATTGTAATTTAAGTAAGTTTTTCACTTGTTTGAGCTGGTGGTTTTAAAACAATAAATTATAGAGCGATAAAACATTGACTTATGCAAATTGCGGGCGTCGCAACTAAATCATAAATTAGTATGCGTTTATGTAATAAAGTAAGACAAAAAATATATGCACTGTGTATAATGTAAAAGAACCAATAAAGAACAGAAGAGCATAAATTTCCAAATTTTGAGAAAATCATAAGAAACTGAAGAAAAATTTGGATTTAAATAGTGACGAAAAAAAAGCACCTACAATAATAATTAACCCAATCTCGTTCGACAATCTTCTCATTACACTTATCAGTGCTTGCAACAATACTTTTATCATCAATTGCTGCACCTTCATTTTGATTTTGGACACCGTCTTGCAATTCCTTCAAACAAAGCCATTCGCCATCAACAGAAACTCGAAAATTACATAGATAAATAGTGTCCTGAACGCCTGTCACATCCTTATTTCTGGGTAATGTTATGGTGCCTTCGTTATTATTATTATTGTTGTTTCCTCCATTCTTTAGCTGTGCCACTTTTGAAGTGCTTGATGGATGCTTATTATTATTATTATGTCCTCGCATATTTCGTCTCAACATTTACTGAAATGTGAGAATGTTATTTGCTTTAGTTCTGTTGGATTCGTGCGGCAAACGATGAAAATATTTAAGTCCTTACGTTGTGATTCATTATTTGCAAATTATCGATTTTTCTTTCCTAATTGCGTTTTTGTTTGGAATCCTTTTATGGTTTAAATGTGCTTAATTGATAATTTTCAGTATGTAATTCAACAACTTCTCCATTGGATGTAATTTATAACTCATTTTTAATACATTTTGACCAAAAAAAGACTGAAAATCCAGTAAAATTAATTTTTTTGCTTTTCAACACACGGTACGATAAACTTTCACTATGCTCTTCTTATTACATTTATGCGCATGCTTCAAAAATACATTTAATGCAATGTATTTGCAGCACAGATGATTTTTGTTTTCAAAACAAATTTGAATTGGCTTTAAATTTCTCCGAAATAATGGCAATGATTCATCTCTAACGATGATTAATAATTGAATTTATTATATAATGAACACAATCAACATAATCATGTTATTATTATTGTTAAATATGCAGCTAAACAAGTTATGGGATCTTTTCATTATTATATTAATTTGCTCACTCACCAACTCTACTGTGAATTCTATCGTTTCTTTCGTCGTCATTCTCGTGTGTAGACCAAGAATCTGTATTTTCTCTAATTGATGTTAATGACGGTGATCTTGTAATATTTTCACTACTTTCGGATACACTTCTTCTCATAAATAAACTCATTTTGATAAAATTTTAACAAATAACAATTTTCACAAATATTACACAAAATAGACAGCATTAAATGGCATTATGGAATGAACAATTCTCTTAGCATTGATGTTTTACTATTTTATCACTTCCACACACGATTAATTCCAGTAAAATTAAGTTTTTCTATTTATCGTAAAAAAAAATCCAACTTTTCTTAATCAAAACATTTATACTAACGTTTGAATTATTAACGACCGTTGAATGCTGCAACTCACTAATCTTACTTCTATTAGCCATTAGAGTTTATCTTTTGAACTTATTTTCGGATCTTTTAAAGTTTGATTTAAAAATATTATTTTTCTTTGAATTCTTCAAAGATTGAATGAGAAAAAAAAATCCTAGCAACCTTTGAAATTTGAACAATTCTGAATTTTTTTCAGTTTTGTTTATACAATGGAAGCAACAAGATCATTCGAGTTGACAACGGAGGACATCAAGGAGTTGATTCAAAGGATGAATCAAATTTTGGAGGAAGAAGAACAGCGAAATGGGAGCAGAGGTTCAATCATCGATAGCGAAAATGTGGAGCCTCAAGTTGAGGAAGAGGTAAGCATTAATTTTATATGATTTAAATCACATCGTATGGGGATTCTTTTTGGGATTTTAAATCACTTGAAGGTGAAAATTTGTTTGGGAATTTTCAGAAGATTATTAGAAAACATTAAACATTAATCATGGATATCCTTTCTGGCTTTTGGATATTGTAGTATGCAGATGTTGGTATAGCTCTAAATGATAAAGCATGAATGGATCTAGCATCATATGAGGAACTAGTCAATTCCAGTCCCTTTAAAGCATTTTTTGATAAGTTTTCATTGTCAAAGAGGTATACGTTTTTATTTCTTAGACAGAGATATGATTAGACACTGGAACTGCTCAGTTCCTTTACATCCCAAAAAAAAGTTTTTTGTTTCTTTTTAATCGTGATTCACATCCTGAAACAAAAAATTTTTTTTGAGGAACCGACCGGTTCCTTTAGTGCCTGAAGACTGAAAATGCTCAAAAAAGTGCTTAATTCTTTAATGACTTAATATTTGACATTTTTAGTCTTCAGGCACTAAAGGAACCGGTCGGTTCCTCAAAAAAAATTTTTTGTTTCAGGATGTGAATCACGATTAAAAAGAAACAAAAAACTTTTTTTTGGGATGTAAAGGAACTGAGCAGTTCCAGTGTCTAATCATATCTCTGGCTAAGAAATACAAACGTATACCTCTTTGACAATGAAAACTTATCAAAAAATGCTTTAAAGGGACTGGAATTGACTAGTTCCTCATATGATGCTAGATCCATTCATGCTTTATCATTTAGAGCTATACCAACATCTGCATACTACAATATCCAAAAGCCAGAAAGGATATCCATGATTAATGATTAATGTTTTTAATTAATCTTCTGAAAATTCCCAAACAAATTTTCACCTTCAAGTGATTTAAAATCCCCAAAAAAATACCCATACAATGTGATTTAAATCATAAATCACAAATAAATCTTTCATACAAAATGATTTAAATCATAAATCAAAAATAAATCACTTGTGTAAAATGATTTAAATGAAAAATCATTTTTCAAATCATTTTGATCATGATTTAAATCCTCACCTTTAAATTTTGAAAAATTTAACAATTTTTTTTTTCAGGAAATGAACCAGTTCATCAACAGCATGCCAGCTCTCATTCCAGATTATGAGCTCGAGGATCCACATCTCCTGGATAGACACTCTTCGCCAATCATTTCTGCTCCAATTCCTGAGGAATTGGAAGGTGGATGGCAAGATGAATTGAAAGGTGGATGGCAAGATGGATTGGATCAAGAGTTGGATGAAGGCTATCAAAATTTGTTGGACCAGAAATTTTATAGCGACTACCAGCCATTGGCTTACGAGTTGCTGTTCGTCGGACGATTCCTCTCCAAGGATTTTCATTGTGCGGTTGAAGAACCTTCAAGAGATTTGCCTCTTAAGCTGTTGGATTATGCATCTCATGCAGGTTCAACAGTAAAGAGGCAAATGAGGAAGTTTGTTCGACTGTACGATGTGGAGAATAGACGAATGCAAATTTCGACGTCCAACATGTTGAGTAAGCATCGTGAGCTGAAGCTTTTGCTCATGAAGTATGCGATTTCGCAAGAAATCGAAGAGCTTCAGCAAGATCAAGAAGAGCTGGTTCCTCTTATTTTGTGCTTGATGCAATGGTTCAAGGGAGCGTCTTTGGAAGTCTTGGAGGGTCTAGAGGAGTTGTTGATTGTGTGGATCAATCACTTCCATGACATCATGCTCATGAGAGAAGTCGGGATCTGCTTGTTTCACCATCCCGTACTAGCATCGGCCCTCCAAGGATTTGTTTCATCACAAATCAGTTCCCATTTCGCTGTAAGTAACAAATTCATTACATGACTCTAGTGAATTCAAATTCAACTAGCTGGAGTTCTGACTATTAATATTAATAAATCTTTATTATTATTTCAGGATTGCGATGCTATTACGATTGCATCGGACATGACGTTTTCTGTGCCATCAGCTGATGATGGACCATCGAGCCGATCCAATCTGGAAGAGAAGCCCAAAAAAAAGCGCAGGAGTTTTTGGAAGACTCTTAAACGAATGTTCTGTTGTGTGAGCAAACCTGAGGAGCACGAAGCCGAAGAACTTCAACGTTAAAACGTGAGTGAAAGGAGAGTAGGGGTTAGGGGGTAGGGGTTGGGTAGGCGAGAAGAGCATAACCAAATCTATATGGGAGTTGCGCCCCATTGACGCCAAGGGAAGGGTTTGGGTGATTGGGTGAGAGGGTAGGCGTTTGGGGGTGTGAGGGGGTAGGCGTTTGGGAGTGTGAGGGGGTAGGGGTTGGGGAGGCGAGAAGAGCATTATCAAATCTATATGGGAGTTGCGCCCCATTGACGCCAAGGGAAGGGTTTGGGTGATTGGGTGAGGGGGTAGGGGTTGGGTAGGCGAGAAGAGCATAATCAAATCTATATGGGAGTTGCGCCCCATTGACGCCAAGGAAAGGGTTTGGGTGATTGGGTGAGGGGTAGGGGTGATTGGTAATTTTGTTAACGTAAGGGGATTTTTCTTTTTAATAATATGGACATGAATGAACTACAATGGCGCGTTCGAGTTTTTTATATAATTTTTATCGAACGAGGCTTATCCTCTATAAAAAGGGCTTTGAACTTTTTAGGAATTACAAGAGGGGGTTGAGGGTGGGCTGTCCAAAAAAAAAACATTACTGTCAATTGGTCCGTCCGTATTATCCTGTTTATTAATCCATTTCTTTTTCAGCTCTTACTTTACTTTGGTTTGGGTGATTGGGTGAGGGGTAGGGGTGATTGGGTGAGGGCTGATTGTTGGTTTTGTTAACGTAAGGGGTTTTTTCTTTTTAATAAAATGGACATGAATCAATTTCAATGGCGCGTTCGAGTTTTTTATATAATTTTTATCGAACGAGGCTTATCCTCTATAAAAAGGGCTTTGAACTTTTTAGGAATTACAAGAGGGGGTTGAGGGTGGGCTGTCCAAAAAAAAACATTACTGTCAATTCGTCCGTCCGTATTATCCTGTTTATTAATCCATTTCTTTTTCAGCTCTTACTTTACTTTGTATTTCGTGAATTTTTCCAATTCTTTCACAACAAATACTTCCGGGCCGTTGAGAGTCATAACAAGATCTTTGCCCAATAAATCCTGAACGTGAGCTCTCTATTCATGACTCCAAGCCATGCCTTACGGTGTTACAGCTTGTTCTTGTTGGTTTGGAGGGGACGTAAAGGCCAGTGGTACTGAAATTCGTTGACTCAAGGCGGTATTGATCTTTATAGAGGCGCTTCCAGATGGGTCGCACACCCTTAATGATAGATGCATCACGGCATTTAATGTAACCCGGTGATGTGTTTAACTTACAGTTTTTGTCATAGTTGGGAAAACTATGCTATCCTGTAAGTTGCAACTAAGTCGTCTAACGAAAGTTGTTTGATTTAAGAAGGAGCGTATCACTGAGGAATTCGACCAAAAATTGATCATTAACCAGGGACTCGTTCTGTTGACCTTCGCGAGGTGAGTCCTGTGATCTTTTCTATTTCGGTAGAAAAGAGGCTGACAAACAGAAGTTGTGAATTGAATTGGAAATTTTGGAGTTTCAGAGTTTCAACTTTTTTGAATCCGAATTTTTCGTGTTTTAATATTTGGAACTCGAAATTTTCGTGTTTCAATTTTTGGAATTCAAATTTTCGCGTTTCAACTTTTAGAATTCGAATTTTTCGTGTTTCAATTTTTGGAATTCGACTTTTTCGTGTTTCAACTTTTGCAACTCGAATTTTTCGAATTTCAATTTTTTGAACTCGACTTTTTCGTGCTTCAATTTTTGAACACAAATTTTTCGTGTTTCAATTTTTTGAACTCGAATTTTTCGTGTTTCAATTTTTGGAATTCAAATTTTCGTGTTTCAACTTTTAAAAAACGAATTTTTCGTGTTTCAATTTTTGGAATTCGACTTTTTCGTGCTTCAACTTTTGCAACTCGAATTTTTCGAATTTCAATTTTTTGAACTCGACTTTTTCGTGCTTCAATTTTTGAACTCAAATTTTTCGTATTTCAAATTTTGAACTCAAAATTTTTGTGTTTTAGTATTTGGAACTCGATATTTTCGAGTTTCAATTTTTGGAATTTGTGTTTGTGAAATTTGAATTTTCTTTTGAAATTCAAAATTTTGAAGTTGGATATTTTCGGTTTCGAATTATTGAAGGAGGAAACTGTCCTCAGAAACCAAATTTGTTTGGAGGACCAACAAGTAACAAGATGCACAGTAAATGATTTTTATGACCAGTTTGAAGCCATAAAACATGAAAATATAAGGTCTTAATTTTAGATTTAAACTTTTTCGATACAAACCTGGAATTCTTCTATGACTGGATGTTATAATCAACATAATTTTCAGTGATCTATTGTTGAATACACTTTCTATATAAATATAAATATATTTTGGGTTATCACTTGTGGACGGAGATTTTGTGGCTGTTTTAGATCACGTGAAGATGAGAAGGCTAGGAATAACAAATTCTTAGAGACGGACATGATTCGACAAATTTCTCATCAGGATTCATCAGGATGAAAAAAAAAGATAATTAAAAGCAAATCACTTATTCCTGATAAGTGTTTCTGATTTCTTTTCTGTTATTAAGCCACCACCAATTTTGCATTAATTAAACTATGGGGTCGTTCACTTATGACGTCCAAAATTAACGGTCATTTTTTAAATCAGAACAATAGAATT